GAAGATATTATTATATGAAAATAATAGACGAAACGTAGAGAGTATTAGAATTAATTATTTGATAAAATAGTAATCAGTAATCATTGATTTCCATTCAACATTAAACAGTATTCAACGATTTCTAATTTCTAAATCAGTTTTTATGAAGTATTACTAAGTGAATAATTAAAAGTAAATAAGACGTGATTATGACAAGTGAATATAAGGAATAATAAAAATGTCAATAATTGAATGAATAATTTTATCAATTATTCATAGTCGAACATTATTTTATGTAAAACCTTATGTAACATTTTGCCAATCGTATTTGCCCAGAATTATATTATACAAAAATTGTATTTAATCTGATTTTCATGTTAAATTTGCATTCCTACTTGAATTAAACTTGACATTTTCCTATCTGTGCTTTTTAACAAGTGAGGTTTATAAAAACGAGAGCAAGCGTGTGTCTCTTGTGGAAACGGTCTACTCATCGATATTGCTTGCTTAGCCCTGATTATGGCGTATCTTCCTGAAATCCATATATCGATTCCCGGGTACGACTAATGATGATCCGGTATCGGCTTTGCTTTAATGGCTATCGGCATTGGGTATCCGGTGAAACCGGATATCGGATTACCGCACACCATCTTCGCTAACTGGCCCTCCAAATATCGAATCCAACATTTTTCGACACACCATCGATACACTTCTTACAACTTTATACCGGATTTCACTCCTCGAAATTCCAGCTAGCTGAGATAGCATCTGCAGCTCTATTGACATAGACATAACAGAGCAAGAGTCTATGAATTTTGAAGGAAGTCCTAATCCTAACATCAGTTGTTATAGTAAAATATATCGATAGTCCCAAGAATTATTTATTTAAATCAGTTTGTCTCGCAATTAGTTCATATAATCANTATTTGTGCATCTTAATTCGTTTCTCATTTGTTTGATGGTTCGAGACAGAAGAGTTTTTAGAGGAGTAGTAAAGATACAAAGGGAGTCTTTGTGATGCGTGGAAGGGAAGGCAGAGGGGAGGGGGGAGGCATTTCCATTCTTTCGTCTCAGGTCAGGGGTTGAAAGGGAATCTTAAAGCTCTCAGACACGTATGACCTAAAAGGGAAAGTTCGTCCAATGCCAACAGATGCCCTCGAACTCCCAGTTAAAGTAGGCATTTCACGTATTATAAATATAATCACTCATTAAATATTCCAAGTTTGAATTAATAATTAATTTGAGGAATTAAGTGTCATTCGAATTTGTCTTTCCAATTACGAATTTAGAATTACAATGAATGAATTTATAATGCAGAGTTGTAATAGCCATTTGAAATTTAGATTCGTAATGTCGATCATTTATAATATGAATTATAATAGTCGTACATTTATTGTACAATAATATAAACGATTAGGTTCAGTATTAATTATACTGTGACTATGTATCATTTGCCATCTCTACAATATGTATTTACAAGGACTTATCAATTTTATAACAAAGTATAAGTACAGATAATAGAAGATCATTTGAAAATTGTCCAGCAAATTCCACGAATCTATATAATTCAACGCGCCACATTAAATTACTATTTGAAACAGCGATAATGACGTTAATTACAGAGTGGTTCTCGCTTTTCCATTAATCTAAACTCGCGAGCCGGACGGGTCTCATTTTATTAATAACACTCCTAATGGAACCGAAGCTGAAATTGATTCCGCGAACGAGCCAAAATTGAAATTGTACAAAATCGTTTTACGACCGAGAGAAAAAGTCGAACCACAGTCGCGCTAATTCTGAGTAATTAAAAACGGTTGTAAACCCGGCGAATTACAGTTTCGCTAGAAGTGTTTTTGAAACACTGCCTTTAAATACGAAAACTGTTTGCTTTAACAAGAATATAAATAGTACATCAGTCAGAAAATTGTTTGATGCTTCTGTAAATATTTGTCTTATTCCCCGTTTGAAAGATTCTTCATTATCACTCAGATTCGTCTATATTTTTTATGAAACACTTGGCCAGTTGCATGAATAGACTAATTCTATTGAACACGTGTGATCAAAGAAACGCGACAAGAAATTAAATTTAGTAACAGCAAGTCACTGACCTTTCCTTAGTATTGCGTCCCTCCTCATCGTCTTCCTCCTCGATGTCGTGTAGTCTGGGGCTCAGCCGGTGTTGGGTGCTACCCTCCTTAGCGAAGTCCTCTTCCTCGGCCCTCTCGGCCGCCTTCTCGTCCTCAAGGTCTTCCAGTTCCTCGTCCAGGTTACTCAACGGCGCCAACTCAGTCTTAGCCACTGATACCTTCCTATCTTCCTGTTTCTCCGATTGATCCCTCTTCCCTTCCTCCTGCTCCTTCTTCAGCTGCTGCTGCTGCTGCTGCTGTTGACTCTGCAGTTTGGAAGGTTGCGGTAGACGCTGTTGGCCGGACTGGTGCTTCTGCTGTTGCTGTTGCTGGCACTTGTGGCCGGTGGAGCCCTTCTTGGCCTCGGGGGTGGCCCCCGAGACAGCTTCACCACCCCCACCCCCGCCGCCACTGGCGCACGGCAGGCAGCAAGACCACGCGCCCCCCACCTTTCGGCACCCTTGCGCCACGCAGCGTCAAAACATCCAGGGCCGACTTCACAAAATTCCAAACTACCCTCTCAACGATTTATCGGCAATTCTGACCCGTTCCCAACGGGCTACATCGCTCCGTCCCCTTTGAAACTTGGAAATAGAACTCACAGGCCCGATG